CATCAACAGCTATTGAAAGCTTTGAGTTTCGACTTCATTTACATAAACAAAAGCCGCAAAGATGATGACCAACCAACCAGGCAAGCACCAGGTACCCAAGACTCGAGACTCGAGACTCGCGAGTCCCAACATCGACTCGACTCTGTTAACTGGCCTAAAACGCATTTTTCTGTCGCTGCACGCACGCGCTCATAAATCAAAAGCCAACTTGTTTATAACTGAAAGCGATCAATTAAAACGTTAACGCAAAAAAATAAAAACAACAACAACGAGGAGGAGGGGGAGAGGAACAACCAAAAGCTGAGATGCGAACCGCGTCTGAACGATGAGCGTTGATCGAAGCGATCGGAGAAGAAGATCTTCAACGCTTGATCGTGCCGAAAAAAAAAACACAACACAACACACTCACACACACACACACACACATGCACGCAGAAAAAATAAACACAAAAACTGAATTTGAAACTGGTCAAAAAGAGTTGGCCAAGAGCAGACGAAATGAGCTGCGGCCTGGTGCATTCCGCTGGCCTAATTCTCTGTAAAGAAAACATTTAAGCAGCACGCGGGAGGCGGGAGGCGAGAGGCGGGGCCCCACTAAATGCCCGATGAGAGTGAATTCCATTTGAAAGCTAACTGCATTTCGGTGTGGCTTAATGAATTTTAGCAGCGACTCGCGGCCAACGTCAGCTAATCAATTGTTGGGGCAAATGACTGGGCCAGGCCATAGGCGATGCAACCAGATGATAGAGTACCCCAGGCATTTATGGCCGACGCTTAACGATCGGTGGGAGTCGCAGTGCGAATCGGCAACCCACTGCGCTCTCCTTTTTCTGTAGATCGATAGATCTTGTCTAGTTGGCAGCCGACAGCTAAAACGTTTACCACGGTTTGTCCTTTTCAGATGGTTAATTAATTAACATGCAGTCGCCGATAAGATCTGTAGGATTTCTATATCAGCGGGCTCGATGCACTCGAGCATGAAAGTCCAAGTCAATCAGAGATCCGCTGGACAGAAGTTATTTGTGAATTTTGTCTACATTGCGACTTCCTTTGAGAGACTAAAGGTATTTAGTCCAGTTAGTAACCTTACGGCTTATCACTCGTATAACATGGCGCATCAGAACAAGATCGGAGGCACGATCGGATTCCAGTTGAGCGGCTCCTTGGCAGCTTTCTCTTTAGCCAGCTCGATTGCCGATATCGATCGCTATCGCCGGCTGCAACACCCCAGAAACAATGCGGCCTTATCAGTAATGTAGCCAGTCCCAGTCCCAGTCCCAGTCTCAGGCTCAGTCCTTGTCCTGCTCTGTGGCCGGGGCAAAAAGGTATTTTGCTCGGCTTGACAACACCCTCTGCGAAAATCTCGCTGGCAATGTTCGAGTCAAAACGCGTATCGGGATTATCAATAATGTGCAATGCTACAGCTCATAAAAATCTCTGTGCGCAGAGCCACAAAGAATTACAAAATTGTACGCAGACAGCCGATGTTGTCGTACCCCGTACCCGTTCCCCGCCGCCCATTGCTCTACCCAGTGCCAATCGCAGCTCCTTTTTGCCTTGATCAGGTGCCGCCAAGCGCAACACGAACACTTAGCCAGAGCCAGAGCCGGAGCAGGAGACGGAGCCAAAATCGAAGCCGAAAGATGCTGGCATAGCCAGGTCTACCTGGCTACCAGGGCAAGGTGAGGCGCTGGGCTGGGCGATCGCGATGCGTGCGGCGCGATAAGAAGCCGATGCAAACCATTAATTAGGAGCTGCAGATACCTGCAGATTTTGTCCAATGTTCGCAACGTTGAAAATTAAGGCTTTAATCGTGCATGAAAATACGTGAAACTTGTGCGTCGATCTCACTCTCCCTCACTCTCTCACTCTCTCTCTCTCTCTCTCTCTCTGCCTCTCTCTCTGTGTTGGCCTCTCCCTCTCTCGCTGCTCATCCACACGATCGCGATAAGATAAATCGCGTACAAATTTGCCTTTATGCGAGAGCGCCGAGTGCATCCGAAATTATGATAATTATTTATGCAGGGTATCAAATGCGCCTGCTCAACGCGTGTGTCAACAGTCCAGGCTCTGTCATTTATTTCAATGAAAACAATCAACAGCTACCTACCGTCTCTCTCTCTCTCTCTCTCTCTCTCGTCTTTCTTTCTCTTTGTCTCTTATTAATCGACTGCCTATATGTCAATGTCAGTGCATCGTCCATAACCTAACCCATTTCGCAGTCACAGTGAGTGCAGCGCGAATTACCATAGCTAACTGTAAATGGGAGTAGTGATGGGGAGTGCTCGCATCGCAATACTCTGTTAACAATTGTGCAAAAGAAATTGCATAGATCTTTACTTTGGCATCTGTCGTAGATCATCACCTGAGATAGCTTTACATGGATTTTAACTAGATTGAGTTCTCACTAAAGTTAGCTGTAAGCTTGTTTCATAATATATACAAATTGTTAATTAAAAATAATATTAGAATTCAATTTAGTTTAGCTTAATTTGAATTCAAATTTTTATTTTAATAAGCTCAAAGTCTTTGATCTCCAAAAGTTAATCTTATTCATAGCTTAGCCATGCCATTGCTTGCGTCACTTTGCCATAAAAATGTTGCTCACTTGAATATTTTTAGCATTCCCATGAATTCATTTGTTTTTGTTTTCTTTGATTTTCGCACCGATCACATTTAAATATTTGCCCTAGGGTATTCGCTTAGTTTCGTCTACCTGGGCAACTGCAAGTGCAAATGCTTTTCTGCACACTCCTGCCGCCTTTGCCGGCCCCTCCCCCAATCGAGCAGATATCACTCTGCATCTGCATTGAAGCGCGAAAATTGCAAACCAATGTTGTTTTGACAATGTGCAATAATTTGTAGCCAATTTTATGTGTCTACCGGCGGTTCAGCTTGGTTTGTTTCGGCACGACGTCCCCACCCCCTTCTGCGCCGTTGGGTAACGAGACCCCGGGCCACATGGACCGGCAATTTATGGCCGCTAAATTAGCAAGAAATGGAAATTAAGAAAAATGTTGCTTTTATTGCAAACAGTTGTAGTCGTCTTCCAATAAAAGCATATTTATTTATACGCGCACACAGCGCCCCTCGATGGCTCGAATACAGCTCGAATACAGCTGCGGCATCATGCCCATCCATGGAGCCAATAGCCGGCCACTGAATTGTTATTGTAGCTGTAGCGCAGACGTTTATGACTTTCGATTCGTTGGCGGCTAATGAGGCAAGTGGCTTGGGTGGCTAGGCGAGCAATCGGCGACCCAACGAACCCACCGCGCTTGGCTCTCTTTAAGCAATTGCCTGATATATGGTTAAAGTTCAGGTGGTTGGATTAGAGAGATGTCGGGATATGCTGGGCCAAGCACTTTGATTTGACTTTGAGCCCAAAACTTCAAACTGAGCCAATGTTTTGATGAAGGTACGAAACTGCTCAAATTCCAGGAGCGGTTCACCCAGCAGCAGAGGGACTCCATAGATGTCCGTTTAGCACCGCCATCAGTCTCTCATTTGGCTTGAGTACTCTCCTGTCCTTACATTTGCCCGATATCTATAAATAAAAAGTTCAACTTCTGACACTAAACTGACTTGTTAACCGAAATATTTACGTCGTATGCTGTGAGTAGACCGAATGACAGCCAAACCCGCCAAAGCCGCAGGGCCAATGGCCCACACCCCGAGAACAGCCCCTAAGACAGAGTTTGAACTTTCCAGCGCAGCACACGATGGAAAAAGAGAAGAAATTCAATTGAAAGTTTTGTCTAGTGGGCGGTTACGGCTACGGCCAGCTCTCATCCATTACGCCGTAACAAATCCCACAAACGAAATTGATAAAAAAAATAAAATAAAAGTAGAAAAGAAACATCTATCTAAGCCCGTAGAAAGTAAAAGCTGAAGAAAAGTTTTTAATATTTGACGTGTTTTTTTTCGCTTTGTTCTTTTTCAACTTTTTGCATTGAAATAGGTTGAAACGCAAAGGGGGAGGGGTGCGAGGTAGTCGAAGACGTAACAAAAATTGAAAAGGGTTTAGCTTGAGCTTGAACTTTTTTTTGCGCCTTTGTGCGATGGTTAACCCATATACGAGTACGTGCTCCCCCTTCCCCATCTCACATGAGCGAAGGCACGAAAAGCAGTTGCAGATACAGATAGAAAGAAAACAAACACACAGATACAGATACAGATTCAGATACAGAGTTAAATGCCAATAGAGCTGCGGCTTTCAGATTCCTTAGGCTCGTTGATTGAAGATCAAAGTCGCCTCGACGTTGGCGGCATTTCGCCTCCTAATGATTGATTGTAAAATTTGCTAATTTAAGCAATGGGAATTTATGCTGGAATCGCAGCTCGTTGGCTGGACTCGTTTTTACAGCAATACAGCCACAATGAGCGTGAGAGTGAGAGCGCGAGAGAGGAGGTGCTGGAGTGGGGGAACGGGTGCCCCATCAATTTTATTGCTCATTTAATTGATCATAAAAATTATTCATTCATTTCCACAAAGATTGCAAAATCAGCTAAATACAACGCGCTGACGGCCAAGAAGAACCGAACAGACGAGACAAGAAAAAAGAAACACAAACAAAAACAAAAGCAAAGCAAATCTAAACGATAATAGTGCGGCGATCGATATCTATAAAATATGCATGAGTTGCGGAGCTGGAGAGCTTGGGAAAAAGTAGGCGGCTAAAAAGTGTTTGGGCCAAATTCCAATGAGGCAGTCGTGGGTTGCCACGATTGCCATGCGAAATGGGAGCAATAAAAGAAAGACAGTTGGCTAAAATGCGAGTTGCAGGGGATCCATAACTTTATGGATGACAAAAATACATAAAAGTACTTATTTAGTAATTGTTGAAGTACATTGTAAGCTATTGATGTTATAGAAAATTGTATATTCTATTGCTTACCTTGTGGAAGTCAATTTTAATGTTTTTTCTTTTTAATCGAATATATCGAATTATGTATAGGCGAGAGTCTTACCATAAGAAACCATTAGACTAAGCATAAACGTTACCTTGAAAAATATTGAAAAATACATAAGAAAACTTATAGGAGAAACTCTGCATATAAGAAAGCTTAAAGTCTAGAGCCTATAAATGTAGCTCCCTATATATGATACAGCTATCCTATAGGAACTATAATTACAGTTGACTTTGGAGTATTACTTTTTCACAATTCTTGCTCTGTACACTAGTTAAAGGAAAGATAAATAAATGTTGAAAGCTTTTTCTTACTTACGAAATGTAAGCATATAGTATACATATATTATATATATCATATCTATTCAAAGTCAGCATGTACATATAAGTAATTTCCTAAGTACTACCCTATGTGTATATGTTGTACCTATATTAATGAGTCTACATACAAAAACCTACAAAGATCACTTGAAAATCTTATATTGGTAAACAAAAACTTGCTTGAGTGATCCTATATATACGAAAAAGTTAGCCTAATGCCCAACGCTCATGCAAATATTATCTTTAGCAGCGTCAGCCAGAGTTTACCTGAAATTTATGGTATATATATATAATATAGACATACTTATTCCATTTAAGCCACATCATTCTCTCAGCAACATCAAACAGATCTTTAATGCCACAAATAAATTGATATATTATTGGCTAAACTTTCCAACCAGGTCTACACGCTTCCCCCTCGCCTTACGCCTGCTCCCATTCTTTCTTCTTCGCCTCTTTGCTCAACATTTTCTGTTTGTGTTTGCAAATTGTTCCGTCCTCCAACTAGCGACTGCTCCAGTAAGCAGAATTTGTGAATGTTGTCGATGAACCCACTCACTCAGATTGAGACTCTGATACGGATGCCGGCCAAGAGCAGGCGACACGGCAGAGCGGTCAGTGGTCCGCTGTATGGCATGGGTATCGAATGTCAATTCGGATGGATTTATGACTTATCAGTCGGCCATATACGACGTATATGTACATATATGTATATGGGATCGCTACGGCCGGCGAAAAGTGCTGCCGTGCGAATTTCTCAGCTATAAAAATGCAAATTAAATGAGGTATAAAAAATACAGTTTTTGTTTTTTTTTTAATTTTTCGATTATCATTTTTGTTTCGGTTATATTTTTTTGTCGCTTTTTGGCTATAAACTAGAAAACATAAAGTTAATAAAAAATACAAATACAAATACAATATTTACATCTTAATCAAGATTTATATAGCTAACAGATACATGTACATATCTAGATGTAATCAGTCGATTTATATATGCACACACACACACACACACAAAGGCAAACACACCTGACATTTTATAGAGTTAATATGGCTGTGAACGATGTGTGTGCGTGTGCGTGTGTGTGTGTGTGTGTTCGGATTCGGGCTAATTCAACTTATGGACTAACATAACTTATGAGGAGAAGAGTTTACAATTTAAATAGTTATTGATAGTATCGACGAACATAACATAATATTAATAGTTGTTGTTGTTGCTGCTGCTGCTGCTGCTGCTGCTGTTGTTGTTGTTGTTGTTGCATATTTATAAATGTATAATTTAAGACTTAATTGAACAAAATATCACAATTATTAAACAAATAAACGTACAATTTAACATGTTTTTGCTCCTCTTAAACTTAAAGTTTTCCCTTTAGATATATACAATTTGAACGGAACGAAACGAAACGGGATGAAACGAAACGAAACGTAACGTAACGTAACGTAACTATGCAGATGTCTAACAGTTAACTAGTTTCTTGCTTTTGGAATGCATTTAGTTGGATGTTTCTATCTTACCAGCTAGCTGAGAGTGGGTGTGAGAGAGAGAGAGAGGGAGAGAAAGAGAGGGGGAGAGAGAAAAGACAAACAGGCGTAACAAACAACAACAAGGTAGATTTTAATCGCCGCCAACTAATCTGTAGCAATGTTCAGTTCTGTCTAGTTCTTTTGCTGTTGCTTTGCAATTCTCTATTCTTCTAAAAGTTGCACGAGTGTGTGTGTGTGTGTGTGTCTCCCTAGTTACTTTGGCAGTTTGATTTCGCCTTGGCCCAAGCAAACGACAGTTGAAGCCAACAACACACGTGCGAATCTACCTGGGGCAACTGCTGAGCAGCCGAATGCAGTTAACAATTAGTTTCTGGCTAAGAAACTAGGGTCAATACTGCAGCTACTATTGGCCAATTTAGTTACGCTTATTTGATAGTTTTACACACGCACACACACATGCCATAAATCAGTGCTGCCAGATCATCGGCAAACTTGCCCTGGCTTCACGCTGACCTTTGAGCAAGTTTCTGCTTGGCCAGAGCTCAGCCTGCCACAGCTGACCTCCCTTGTGGGCCAATTTCAGCGCGTAGCTTTGCATGCTGCGTGATCTTTTGGCTCGTCTAACCTCAGCGGCCGCCGACACTCTCGCCAAAAACAGAAAACTCTGTCTGAGTAGGAGTGTGTTGCAGCTGCCAAAAAAAAAGTCTGCCCCAGCCACAGCCAGAACATGTCTACGTAGCTGCCTCCCTCTCTCTCTCTCGCTCTCGCTTCGTCTGTTGCCGGTCTAGTTCTACGTCTGCTGTGGCTGTGTCCGTCCGTGTCTATGCAGTGGCCCTGACGGTGTCGCTCGCCTCACTTTTTGTTACAATTTCTTTTCATTCTGCTCGAGCTGTGCCTTTTATTTAGTTTTTGTTTTTTCTTTTTTTTTTTTGTCAGTTTTTGCCCAGACATGAGCTCAGTGATGTTTCGCGTTGCCTATTTTCTATGCCCCACACACACTCACACACACACAGGCACACACACAATCAGACACACGGCTTGTTACTGTAAAATGCAGCAGTTAAGACGAACTAACGAGTGAACGTTGCAACAACATACGAACGAGAGAGAGAGAAGGAATGAAAGAAGTTAAGAGAAAATAACAAAATACAGGAGAGAGAGAGAGAGCAAAATTGTTTTGGGCCTTGGCTGCGTCTGCATTGCATCGACTGGTTGCCGTTGCAGTGTTGCTGTGTTGCTGTGTTGCATGCAACATCAATTTTCTGAATCTTGCTGCGAGCCAGGAAACTGAAAATAGCTGGCCGTAAGAAAACAGAACAGGGCCAACAACAATTGGCTCCGTTCTACACCCGCCCCGAGCCGCTGTTGCCAACTATTTGGTATTTCACTGTTTACAGTTGTTGTTGTTGCTTCATTCTTGCTGCTGTTGCCCCCAGCTGCAATTGTAGTTGCTGCTGCTATTTGAACATGTAACTAGGCTTTTTATCGCTAAACGCTTTTCATTTGCATATTTGGCTCCGACTCGTATTTTATTTGCAGGGAAGCTTTGCTAAAAAGCTTTGCCAATTGCGGCTCGCTCTCTGAGCCTGGCATCGAAACGGGTTTCAAGCCAAAAGCCGAAACGCAAATTGCCCGCAATATAAAAGAAAAAAAACTAGATTTAATTTAGTTTCAACTCCTTAATTCTCTGCCTGTGCGTCTCTGTCTCTTTCACTCCCTCCCTCTCTCACTCTCTCTCTCTCTTTCTCTTTCTTTGTTTGCCTTTCATCCTTGGCAAGCTTTCTCTCTCTTTCACTCGCCTGAACTTTCTTTGCAACTTTTGCTTTTTGAACCAGTTAGGAACTGAACCAGCGCTGAACTGAGTCAAATGTGAACTTTCAAAGTGACTGCTTCCTGCTGTCTCTCTCACTCTCTAACTCACTTTGTCTCTTTCTTTTTGGACTTGCGCTTAAACTCTATTAAGCCTTAGCAAAAATTCTAATTAGACAACGAAATTGCATCTCTTTCTCTCTTTTCACCTATCTCACTCACTCACATGTGCAAATTGCGCGACGCTGGCGTCGGCTGCGACGTCCCCTGCGGCGGCAGCGGCAGACTCTGCTGCTGTATGCCGCCCGCCAGGGGAATCATCTGTGACTGGGCGCCCGGAACAACACCTCCGCCGCCTCCTCCTCCTCCTCCTCCTCCACCGCCGCCGCCCATGAGCAGCGCTGCCTGCTGCTGCTGCTGCTGCTGCTGCTGCTGCTGTTGGTTGTTGTTGATGTTCGCATTGGAGCGATGCTGCTGCTGTGTGGAGGGCTGTCGCCGGAAGCTGCCCGGCTGCAGGGGCAGCGGCGGCGGGGGCAGCATGAACTGCTGCTGATGATGATGCGGATGCGGCACAGAGTGCGCTGCATGCAACGGCAGCTGCTGCTGCTGGTGCTGCTGCTGGAGATGCTGCTGCTGCTGCTGCTGCAGATGGTGATGATGATGGTAGGCGGGATGGTTGATGGGCGCATGGCAGGGCTGGCCCGAGCGCTGGGCGTGGTGCGAGGTGCTAACATCGGGCAGAGCGAAGCGCAGCTTCTGCCAGAAGAGCTTGTCGCCCCACTGCAAATAGGTGTTGGTCTTCAGGTAGAGCCGCAGATCCGGGTCCAGCTCCTTCTGCGGCACCTCGCCCAGCACAATGACGATGAGGCGTCGCCGGCGATCGCGCAGCACCGACTGATGCGCCGACTTGAACTCGAAGCGGCACCACTCCGACTTGATGAAGTTCTCGGAGACGACCATGATGGTGCGCCGACTGCTGTCGATGGCCTGAACAATGGTCTCGGGCAGGTAGCCGCCCACGGGAAAGTCGCGCTGATGCAGGCACAGCTTGTAGCGGTGCTCGCCCAGCTCCAGCATGGGCGCCAGCTCCTCGTTCACGAACAGCTCATCCTTGGACGAGTACGAGATGAATGCATCGAAGAGCTTCTCCCGCTCGTTCTTGTCCACATCCTTCTGGCCGTTGTAGAAGAGCCGCACGCCGAACCGCGAGTGGCACCAGACGCGCATCTCCTGCCGGAAGATGAACACCAGCAGCGTGCAGATCATGATGAAGATGAAGGCGGTCAGTATGGCCACCAGAATGGGTATGTAGTCCTGCTTGGGCGGCTGCGTGAGTATCATCTTGGTGGAGGTCATATTGCCGCCAGCCGCCTCGCCAGCGCCAGCGCCCGCACCGGCTCGCTCCGCAGCATTGAAGCTGTTGTCCAGGCCCAGCTGCAGCGTCTGGCTGCACTGCACCACGGGCAGCGTCTCGCCGGCCGCCGCGAAGATCGCCATCTGCACGGCCTGCTGCTGCGTGCTGTTGCCGGGCATTTCGCAGCGCAGCTGCTGGCGATCGAGCACGTACTCGTGCCGGTTCGCGTAGTCGCGCAGCTTGTCGATGAGCTCGCACTGGCAGCTCCAGGGATTGCCAGAGAGGCGCAGCTCATTCAGGTAGCTGGGCAGGAAGTTCCACACGGCGAAGGTGCCAATGGCATTGTGATCGAGCCGCAGGATCTTCAAGTGGTACAGATGGGTAAAGGTGAGCGTGTCTATGGTCGCAATGGCATTGTGCTGCAGGTAGAGCTCTTGGAGATTGTCCAGGCCCTGGAACTCGTTGCCGTTGAGCGCGCTCAGCTGGTTGTTCTGGAGCTGCAGCACCTCCAGCTCGAGCAGGCCGTAGAAGGTGCGATTGTGCAGCGTCTCGATGCGCGAGTGATTCAGGTGCAGCACCTTCAAGCGCTTGCGTCCGATGAACGCGTGGCTCTGCAGCTCCGCAAAGTGATTGCCATCCAAATAGAGCTGCGTGGCGTCCATGGGTATGTGCGAGGGCAGCGAGCGATCGTAGCTGGCGCGACTGCAGTCGACCACATTGGAGGTCCAGGACTGATCGTGATAGCAGGAGCAGCGATCGGGGCACTCCATTTTGCAGTCGCAGGCCTGAAAGTCGCAGCAGTGGCAGAGGGCAAAGCAGTGCGACTCGTATTTGCATAAGAAGTCGTTGGACTTGGCCTCGATCAGCGAGAGATGCGTGGCGCCGCGTGCATAAGACAATTTGCAATAGATCTGATCGAGATCCATGAGCTGCGGCTGCGTGCGTGACTCCCGATTGATCTTCTGCAGCCAGTCGAGATTGCAATCGCACTGGTAGGCATTGTGGCCAATGTAGAACTCGGGAATCTCGCGATCCTCGGCTATGGGGGACAGTCGGAGGGCGTTCGGCTCCAGCGTGGTCAGCTTGTTCCGCACGAGATCGACGCGCGTGAGATTGGGCTTCTTGAAGAACGTATATGGCTGTATCTTGCTGATCAGATTGTCGTTCAGATAGAGCACCTCCACGCTGTTCGGTATCGAGCTGGCCGTGATCTCGCTCAGCAAATTGTAGCTGGCATCGAAGGTGCTCAGGCTCAGCTCGTTCTCGATCTCGAAGTAGTTGCCCAGCTGCGTGATCCGATTGGCACGCACATCCAGCCACTGCAGGCCGATGGGTATGTGCGAATAATCGAATTTCTCCAATCGATTACCCGATATATTCAGCCACACCAGATTGGGCAGCTCGGTGAACAGGCCGGCGATGCTCTTCAGCTGATTCCCGTCCAGCCGTATGGCCTGCAATTGGGTATTCCGCTGCAGCGCGCCCGCCTCGATCGACTTCAGCTTGTTGCCCGACAGATTCAATATTTGCAGTGAGCTCATGCGGTCGAAGACGCCGCGGCGTATATGCGTCAGCGAGTTCTCCGTCATGCGCAGCCCATAGAGATTCTCCAGTTGAGTGATGCTCGTGTTCTCTATTTGCGTAATCATGTTCTCGCCCACATCGAGCGTCTTCAGCAGTGGCACATGGGCCAGCGCCTCCGGCACCGCCTGCAGCTTGTTGTCGTTCAGATGCAAGTCCTGCAGCTGACTGCAGTTGATCAGGGCGCGCGTGTCCAGGCGCGTCAAGCGATTGTAGTCCAGGGAGAGCACCTGCAGATTGTTCAGGCCCTGCAGCGTGCGCTGCTCGATCACAGAGATGCGATTGTTGGAGAGGATCAGCGTATGCAGATTGCCCAGATCGGCAAAGATGCCAGCGGGCAGCTGATCTATGTAGTTGCCCTCCAGCTTCAGCACTTGCAGACTGGCCAGCGGCCGGAAGATGTGCGCCTCCAGGCGACTGATCTTGTTGGCCGACAGATCCAGCAGCACCAGCTGCTTCAATCCCACAAACGTGGCCGCGTTGATCCACTGCGAGTTGAGCTCATTGTTGGCCAGGTCGAGCACCAGCAGCTCGGCCAGCTCGCCAAAGATGCCCGGTGCCAGCACATTGATCGAGTTGTTCTTCAAATATATCTCCTGCAGCTGCTTGGTCTCGGCAAACAGCTCCGGGGGCAGCGAGGTCAAGCGGTTCGCCGACAGATCGACGACGCGCAGCGATATCAGGCCCTCGAATGCTCGATCTGCCAGAAAGCTCATGCTGTTCCGCGCCATGTTCAAGTGGGTCAGCCGGACCAGCGCCGACAGCATGGCCGACGGCAGGCTGACCATCTTGTTGGCACTCAGATCCAATGACTGCAGCGTCGAGCCGCAGACGCGCGACTTCCTCGAGCTGAGCGAGGCGCTGAAGTAGAAGTTGCTGATGTCCTGGATCTTGTTGTAGGAGGCATTCAGGTGCTGCAGCGACTTGAGCGGGCAGACCATGCCGTCCGGTATCAGCCAAATGTTGTTCAGACTCAGATCGAGTCGCTCCAGCTGGCGGAACTCCACAAAGCTGTTGGAGGCCATCTCCAGCGACATGGTCGACCAGTCGCCGTTGTGCGTGCGAATGGTCAGATTCCTCAGCTCCTGCAGTCCACGAAAGGAGCCCTCCGTCAGATTGCCCAGCTTGCAGTACTCGATGGTCAGATCCCTGAGCTCCACCAGCGAGCGAAAGCTGTCCGGGCTGAGGCTGCTCTGGAAGAATAACGCATCGTTGCACTCCAGACGCAGCCGGACCGTATTATGCGGCTGGATCACACTGAAATTTGTGTTCTCCAGCTCCGAGTTGATGGTGCGCAGATGGCACACGAGTGTGATGTCGTGCTCCCCGCCGCCCGACCAGCGGCATTCGTCTGGAGCCTGATACAATACCGTTTTGCTCAGCGCCGCCCCAAAGATGGGCATGACACAGCTGGCGATGAGGACGTAGAGCATGTGGCTAGCCAGCATTTTGTGTTTGGCTTATTTCTGGCTACAACTAGCTGGAAACCCCACTAGCGAACCTGGCTAGCTAGCTAGCTGTTTAATGTGCTGCTGCTGCTGCTGCTTCTTCTTCTCCTTCTTCTTTTGGGTATTCGGATTTTGATTGTCAGGGGGGGCTGCAGTCGCTCCGTCGTTATATGCAGCCCATTTTGTGAATATTTTGTAGATCTTTTATCGATGCTTGCACAACAATCCACAGCGTGTTGGATGTAATAACAATAAAACACAGCACACAACACATAAAAACTGCTCTTAATTTGCTTTATATATTTTTATCCATATAAATTTTGTTGTTTTCAATTCAATTTTCTCGTTTCTCTGCTCTCTTTCGCGCTGACCGTAATCCAAGTGGGGGGTGTGCGATTGCGATACTTTTTTGTTTTCTTTTGCTTTAATTTGAAATTTTTTTTTTTTAGCTATGATAAATTTGTTTTCGTATAACTTTCAAGCACTCTTCGACTCAGCTTCATTACGCGACAGCGTCTCGTTTCGATTCGTTTAACCGACAACGCGTGCGTTCTCTTCAAAGTCTGCTCAAAAACTGATCGTACACAGCGAACGGCAGAGAGCAGCAAGTGCCGCTGAGAAACCGAGCGGGCGAGCGAGCCGAGTCGAACATTGAGTGAGTCTTCGTGCCGCTCGAATTATGCCTTTGGGCGAGCACTCAATGAACACGCACACGCTCACAAAGACTGTGACCGTGCGAGAGCAAGAGTGAACGAGCGAGCGGGCGAGCAATATATACATATGCATATAGAGTGAGAGAGCGCGCAGGGTGAGCAAAACAAACAAAGCAAAACTATGCAATGCAAAGGCAAACGCAAAACGCAACGCATTGCACAGTGGGCTCAATATTGACAATGCAATCTTTTGCATGTTTGTGTATATGTGTAGCTCGTAAAATGAAGGCAAGCAAATATTGTGTGTGTGCACGAGAGTAGGAAGTTAAGATTAGGCAGGCAGAGGAAGTGAGATCGAGAGATAAGCAGGTGATCTTACAAGTTCTGGATTAGTGAATGAAGAACAATGCGCAGATATGTGATATGGGCTACTATACTTTACTCGGATTAATATATCTGGTATAAATATATAAAAAGAAGATTCGTTAAGGTAATATCACGTAAGGTAAGCAGCTGCTGGCTGATATATTATATAAACATGTTTATATATTTTTTAAATTAATTTTTATTTATTTATTTAATATCCCACTAACATTCGATGGCACCCACATCTCAGCCCCACTGTGCACAGTGTCTCCCCTGTCTGTTTCGTTGAGCGTCAACGCCAAACGAACAATTTCCAATGAGACATTGACACTCGTCACACCGGTTAGACGAGTTTCTTTTTGTCCAGCTGAGCCGAGAGTCAAATTGAGTGAGTTTCATATTCAGCGCCGCACTGTGTGAGCGCAAATCCGAACAAAGAGAGCCATTGAGCGAGAGCGACGCTGAATTACTGCGAGCCAACCGCCTTGAGTGCAAGCGTGAGAGACTTTAACGTTGATCTGCAACAGCAGCAACGGCAACGGCAACGGCAACGGCAACGGCGACGACGACGGCAACGGCGGCTTAAGCGACGAGAGCAAAAATAATAATAAAAAATTATTGAAATCAATTGTTAATTCAGCCAATGTCAGTTTGATATACGCGCCATATGTACGTACATACACGCACGCACACACACGCATACACACACAAGTGTGTGTATAAAAAATTGACTGATTTTTCTTGATTTATGAGAGCAGTTGGCTGGGCCTGGGCCACAAACTGATCGCGCTGATCGCTGATCGCGCAACCTGACCGGCTGCTCAATCAGCGCTCAAGCTGCTGTTGCTTTCCGCCTTGGCTAACTGGGCGATCTCTTCAGCTTGTTGTTGTTGGAGTTTGTGCTTTGCTTACTCATTATGCTCGTTGGGCTTGAAGCGTTGTAGGCAGATCTCGTTGCATGATCATCGGACCCATATGTCTTAAGCTACACTTTCAAACTTTCCCAAAACTGAAACAAACCAAAATCGTTTCCCGCTAAGTTAAGTTTATTTTTGCTCACTGCTCACTGTGTACCTGTGCGCTGACGCCGTTGCTCCGACAGGTGCTGATTAACCAAACACATCCCCAGATCAGAGTCCGAGTCGCATCGCAGCCTCTGTGCAAGCGATGCGTATCTGTCAGCCAGCCAGTTAGCAGGCCACGGCCATTACCAGGGCCCGTTCTCAGGAAAGAAAACCCACACCGAAAATGCAGGTAGCCTACAAATTGTCGAAAGTTGACCGTGCAAACATCTCTTGGCGTGTTTCTCAGGTACATCTCATTGCGTACACCTACTTATTGTATGTATGTGTAGATGTGCAAGTGTGTGTATTTATCTTTCTTTGGCTAGGATTCTGTTACAAAGGAGTCCTCAATTGTTTGTTCCTGCTTTGTGCCTTTTATCGATCGTACGATCGATCAACTCGGGTGTAAGCCAGGAAGTAATGCAACAAAAAACTGGGCTTAGGCCTTGCCATTGCACAATATGTGTGTGTGTATGTCGGTTCTCTGTTTGGATTCTACGGGCACAAGGTAACTATATACGGGGCATTGATTCGATTTGATTAGATTAGTTGAGTTCAGTAACATTTGCCTCGATGACGGATCACAATTCCCACTCCCGCCCTCTCACTCGCACTCTGTCTCTCTCTCCATGCCTCACTCTCTAGTTTATTTTCTGCTTTAAAATTTGCGCAAATTATTATACCCTGAACCCATTGAAAATGGGAAATCAGGGTATAATGGTTTTGT